CGCTTGCTCAGGGGAAATAAAAACTTAAAAAAGAACTAGGAAGGCTCCGTATTTTATTCGATGCTCTCCTAAATGTTCTACGCTCACCCTAGTCAAGTCAGCTGTCATTCCAAAACAATAAAAAGTGTTTTGTTTTTTTTTACAGGCCCAGATCAGTAAATAATCTACGCACAGCGTAAAATATTTTTGGATGGAAAACGAACGTTGCTATTCTGTAATATACAGCTTATAGATCTCTCCTCTATCTTTACCCAAAGCAAGCAATGTGCGACATTCCGCTTTTAACTTGCATCTTGAGACACCAATCATATCGAAAGACTTTCGAAAATCTTAAACATAACCGGAACGTTGCGAAATATTCCCGCTCTAATATATGAGAGTTGTGCCTCCCGCCTCTTGCCTGCATGGCCTTTCTTGAGCTCTAATGAAAATGTTAAGTATATCCGGTCTCACTTTTAAATAATTACTGCCTAACTCTGAGCACCCTGAAGTAAAATCTCGGGAAAGAGGCTGCGACGTTCGGAAGGTTTGTCCTTTTTAGCTGTGCTTTACTGCACGTCCTGGCTGCAAAGAGTGAGAAATGAATTGCCTTGCTTCATCCATTGAAATAGAATAAATGTGCGATAAAAACTGATGGAGTTTTTAAAGAGCATCACTTTCTATCGGGATTTAGTGGAAATATTTTCGCGCGCAACTTAGCGGGGAAGTTGTGCTGTCACGTCACTCTGCATGATGACGAAACGTGAGACTTCGAGCTCACGGGACACAGTAACATTGCGTATTACCATGACGTCACATCGCACTGTGATGTCACGTGACACAAAACACTTCGCGTTATATTATGACGTCGTATGGTGAGATCAACACGAGCAAGACATTTCCGTCGAAGGTTCTCACTTAAACCTATAGGCGGTATTCACTGGACGCAATTTTTGAGTGCACTTTCCTCTGGCGTGCTCAGCACAGGTTCACAGTTACAGGCAAGTTGACCAACCGGGCAATATTTTCGTTGGATAGAGTTTGGTGCACAGTAGCTTTGCATTTTGTTCCGGTTCGCTTCCGGTTTGAACCATTCATTTGAAATAACGGTTTGGCTACCGGTTCCACTGAGCCCGAACCGGTTCAGACTGGTTCGAAACGCTACCTTAGACCGCGGCCGCCAATGCATTTCTTGTTCTAAACCAACCAAAATGTACACTGCTCTCAGTCCTAACAAAAATTGTTGCCAACTCGGCATCATTCGCATTAATAAAAAAAAATTGTTGACCATAAGTAGCTTTCTTTACAAACCTTAAATTTATCGAAGCACGATTGTATGCAAATTATTTAGCTATACGGGCGCTCGGGAAAAGTACCATATTGCAGAACTCACATATATGAAGTCAATCAGCCGGCACGCAGAATGACTCCGCGACAGTGGAACAGACATCTAATACCCATGCCACACGGGCAACTCTTATGCCATTTACAACGAATGACATTCGTGTGATCAACGAATCGGCTCGCGATCTGTCGCGCGTGGAACGCCCCACGCTCGGAGTGTCGCGCGCTGATTGGCCCATCGTTCAAATATCATTCGTTGTAGAACGCATAGGAGTTGCCCGTGTGGCACGGGTATTACTCTCAAACTACCATAATTGAACAACGGACCGGAATACCAGACACAGAGCAAAAACAAAAACAGGCGGCATGCGACACTTGACTAAACAAGAGATAACTAAAATGCTTTCAACGGACAGCGTGAAGAGTCCAGGCGACTGGCGTCGCGGCGATTGGCGTCCCGGCGACGGGAACCTCGCCGCTTCAGTGGCGACTCGTTTTTGCCCTTGCGGAAGAGACACATGCCAACAGCCGTGGATTTTCTTTTTTTTTTTTTTACTTTGTACCTCTTTTTTTATTTCTTACTATTGTACAGCAACAAAAAAGTAAAGAAAAACACACGCAGAGAAAAAATAGCTTTTTTGACTCTTGGCACAGTGAATATACACACCTTTCACCTGACGGAGAGCGGCGGGCGCTACGTGCCATCCCAGCAATAGACCATTTGCTATATAACCCAAGCATCAAAGGGACTGCAGGGATTGGTGTTCCACGCGCCACACGCGCACGCCTTCCCGTTTAAAAGATTCGAAGTAAATAACCAAAGTAAAGCGTTGACGTGCCCACCGTGCAAGATACCATTTGTTTTAGGTATTTGCTTTAGAAAAGTTACTACTGCTGAAGCCAGCACGTGCGGCGCGTGGAACACCAATCCCTGCATTCTCCTTGATGCTTGGGTAATATAGCAATACGTCTATTGAACATGGTTAAAATCGCGCACAAATAGAAAGGAATAGTGAAGAGGGGAGAGAGAAGAAACAAGCGCAAACTCACAACTCGATGTGTTGAAGGAAGAAAAAAGAACAGCCCGCGGTATAAGCTGGAGCCAAGGCCACACTTGCACGAAGGCACCCGAGCACGCGGAGGACACGCGGAGAACACACATCATCAACCACACTCAAAACGATTGTAGAAGGGTGATTTCCTAAGGATGGCTGACAGAACGCTCGCCTAGGCGGAGTATACTAAAAGCTTCAAAAATTTCCCTACTGTGTGCTTTTTTTTTTTTGTGGAGTCTGCCAAATATCGGTCTTTTTTGTAAAGAAGGTGTACACTTACACGCTTGGCAATCCAGAGGAAGGTGACCCCCCATCGGTGAATTTAGAGAAAGATTATGCTCCCTTAACCGGTCATTAACACACCGTCCTATCTTTCCCACGTAGGATCTACCTCAGGAAAGGGGAATGCTATAAACCCCTCTGGTTCTACCAGTGGTTTATACCATTCCCCTTTTCTGTGGTAGAGCCTACGTAAGACAGAAAGGACGGTGTATTAATGGCCGGTTAAGGGAGCACAATCTTTCTCTAAATTTAACGGTGGGGGCTCACCTACCTCAGCATTGTCAAGCGTGCAAGTGTGTACACCTTCTTTACAAACAAAAAACACAAAAAAAAAAACGATAATTGGCAGATTCCACGAAAAACACACTAGGGAAAGCTCTGAAGCTTTTAGTATAGGCAACCTGCAATGCTGTTTGGTCTGGCGCCATCTAGTGACTGAAGCAAGAAATATTGGGTACCCCTGGGAGTAGCGGCTTCATTGTTCAAACGTGAGCTTTTACTCTGGTGGCGCCGCTTAGCCTAGTGTCTGAAGCAAGAAATACTGGGTATCCTAGGAAGTGGTGATCGCGTAACGTGCCAGTAGAGCGGAAGCTGCGGCCCTGGCGGGCCAATCGGAACTTGACTGCGTATCACCGGAGCGCGCCTCAACTCCGAAGAAGTATCAGGCTTTTCGCTGCGTCATGCTCCAATATGTGTGCGTTGCGCTCTTATACGTCGCGCATTTTGAAGCCTTCGGCACGCAATGTGGCGCTTAACGTTCACCCTTTGCCAAGTTACAACGAGACAGGGTGTAACCGTGCCCTCTGACGCTGCTGGCGCCGCCTGACCATTGCCGGCTGGCTATACACCGCCTAGGGGAGCGTTCTGTCAGCCATCCTTCTGTGGCTTTTACCGACAAGAAAATCGTCTTTCTACAATCGTTTCGACTGTGGTTGATCGTGTGTGTTCTCCGCGTGTCCTCCGCGTGCTCGGGTGCCTTCGTGCGATTGTGGCCTTGGCTCGAGCTGATACCGCGGGCTGTTCTTTTTTCTTCCCTCAATACATCAAGTTGTGAGTTTGCGTTGTCTGTTCTTTTTCCCCTCTTCATTGTTCGTTTCTATTTGTGCGCAATTTTAACCATGCTCGATCACTACCAACTCGCCCAACTAACAACTTTATCCCAGCGACTTCAGCGACGTAATCGTTTCTTGCGACTGCGCGCCCCGCGAGTCGCTTCTCCCCACAAGCGCAACGTGACAATCACGCGGTATCAGACCGATTAATAAAGCTTGGACTTGGGTTTGGGCTAGTTGGTTGTTCATTGATAGACGTGCTGCGCTGCGAAGTTCTACAGAACAAACGCGTGACCAAAAATTGAAAGGAAAAGGACGAGTTTACATTGAGATGAGGAGAAACACAACGAACTGGCGCCCATTCGTGTTCGTTGTGTTTCTCCTCAATTCAATGTAAACTCATCCTTTTCCTTTCCATTTTTGGTCACGCGTTTGTGCTGTAGAACTTCGCAGCGCAGCACGTCTATCAATATCAGACCAACTTCGTTGACTCGTAGCTTTCGCTGCGTTCCATCGCAAGAAAAAACGGATCGTAGGCTGCGTTTACATGGACGCGACCATAGCGCATCGAATTTAAAAGAAACAATCACAAGCTCCCAGTCCCTCTGTTTCTTCCTTTCTGCCAAATCACAACAGTTATATCCCGATTCTATTCTCCACGCCTCCATGTATATACTTGCGACTACAAAAGTGTAGTCCTTTGCATCGACGCCAAGTCGTGCTGCGCATAGACGTGACATTTATTTATTTCCTTCATTACTACTGAGCCGTCCTTCTGTCGCTGTAGTTTCTGTAGTCAACAACGCGCCGCTCACACCACCGTCGCGATTATTTAATTCACCTCCTCTCGACAACCGCAGAAATAGACGGAGCTCACACTTCAATACGCCGAAACATTTTCCAATGAACCGGTAGCAGCCACAGCAGATTGCGGTTCCTTTCCAGTTCGGGTTCAATATCAAAACTTTGATTTCAGTTACACTTTTGTTCCACTCGGCGAAAAATGTCGATTTAGTTACGGTTTTATCGTTCGAGTTCGGGTGCGGTCGATCACCTTCCTTGTAGGTTCTCAAGAGGAGCAATCTTGATGGTGTGGAATTAACGTTGCGATATCTCCGTGAAAGCTCAACGTCCATATGCCCTTGGCAGCTCTGCACTCACAGAGCTATGGGCACCAGTGAAAATGTTTTATAGCTTGAAAAAAATCTTTGTTAGCGCTGCACGTTGCGCTCCTCACAATCGTCAGCTTAAAATTCCCTGATTTAATACGTGCCTCATTTTTTTACAGCGCCCGGGAAGTTCACAGTAACTGCTAAGGCAACGAGCCCTTCATCCATTCGGCTGCTCATAGATCCTCCCAAAGAAAAAAACGGCAACTTGGACGGCTGCTCCGCGCAGTGCTCGTCTTCTGAGAACAAGTACGAGACCAACTGCGCTCCAGATGACGTGGACATAGAGGTGAAGGGTCTCATCCCAAGTAGCCAATACACCTGCCGTGTGACATTCTACAATAATCACGATGGTCAGCGTCTCGAGACAAGGCAAGAGGTTGGCGTCCTTACACCAAACCGTAAGTTCGGCTGCCCGCTTGTTGTAGACGTGCTGATTGAAGGGAGCGTTGTTTGTGCGTGTAGAGTTTCGTCTGCAGTTTTTATGTCAGGACCGATCATACTTATGTGCTAACCACCGGCCAGCTTCCGCAGTTAAAAAAAAATTGCGGTGGCTTAGCTCGGCTATGCCAGGATATGCGTAGCTTGAGCTTATGCGCACACAATGAGAGGCGCTATCAAGCCGGTTCGGTGCAGCGTCAGTCTTGGCTACTGCGCAACGGAAGCGCACAGCTGGGCACGCGGCGGCGCCAGTGCGTCTGCCGCGGCTATGAAGTCACTCCTCTGGAATTTACAGACCGGCGAGGCGGGCGCAGCGGCGGCGGCGGCTCCGGTGCGCCTGCTGTGCGCCGTGTGTCGTCACTGCTCCTCGCGCATGCGCAGCACGGAGCACGGCTCATTATGCGAGCCACGCGAAACTGCTCAACCTCAGCCAGTGTAGCTCACGCTACAAAAAAAAAGATTGAATGGATAAATTTGCGGAGTTACGTGAGGGACGTCGGCAGTGTACACAAATCCTACCTCAGCATCGTTTTTCACACTGACCGGCTGCAGGGTGAAAAGATTTCTGTGCTGCAGTTCAATTTAGCGGTTTCCATTCTTTACACCACTGTAGACGAATTCAGCGGTTTGCGCACTTGACACCAAGGCGTCTAATGAGAAACTATTGTTAGATAAAACTGATCCGCCGCCGAGCTATCATTGTTTATACCGACAGAGCATCCTTCCCTCTCTCCGCCGCCGAGACGATATCACAGCTCAACATCGCAAAAGCCTGACGTTTTTGTCACGTGATGCATACGCCCGAGAGAAATCACCGGGATTTATCTCTTGTGTGAAACCCGCTTGAAGCACAATATGCTAGGACTCTTTCTTCTAGGTTCCAATGAAATTAGTTACAACGAACAAGAGTAACAAAATTATTTTAAGATACGCAGAATGGGAATGCAAACTTTATATACTCCATTACATAATTAGCGTACAAATTAACGCAGTTATATCAACTGAAGTAGATTGTAAGTTGTGCCAATTGGTAACGGATGTACATGATAAAATATAGTGTCTGTAAACACGAACGACGAGGAGGGAACGAACACGGAAGGACAACGGCTGACTCGCAACTGAAGTTAATTCTATGAAACGGAAACAACGGAAACTTCTTAAACAAAACACACAAACATTAAAACGCACACGCCTACCAGGCAACTAGAAGCTGCAATGGTATCGCCTTACAAATTAGAATTCAAGTTAGACCGAAGGTACCTTATCTCTTTCTCGGATAGCTGCACCGATCGCTCACTGACTCATCTCTCTGCCCACGAAGAAATAAAGAATGCTTCAATTATTCCCGAGCCATTCTGTCTGGGAGTCTACCCATAACAGCCGCGTCACCAAAGGGGGGATACATGACCAATCCCTTGAATGAAGCGGTAGGAGTCCTCTGACCGTAGCCCTAAGAGAATGATCCTTCCCTCTCAACGTTTCATTCAAACACGTTCGTGTCTAGCGGAGAGAAGATCACCCACACGACAGGGGTATCCGGTAGACGACACCCGATGTATAGGTCACACAGTTTTTTTTTGTGTGCACTTAGCTTGGAGACGTTTTTCAGCGCCAGCATGAACTCTCGCGTATACCTGGCTAATCTTTTGTTGAGCTGAGAACACAACAAGGATGCCGTACTGACCTATGACCTGTTTTAGGATGTGGGAAGGCCGATAAATGTAGGGGACTACCACCATTAGACTTCCTCAGAACTTCTATCCTCTCTTCTCTTCCAAACACATTCTCTTCTCTATACCTCTTGACTGTTTCGAAAGGGAGCCGGCCACCTCAGTCAAAAGGCCCAAACGGAAACCCCGACGTCCTACCTCTACTACCGTGCTCCATGAAATAGTCTTTCATAACTTTTTGAGGGCCGATCCAAGCCCTGAAGCGGCAATACCCGTTTTACTATTTTTTGGGTGGATGGACATCTAGTCAAGTATCGCCTTCATAGAACGCTAACAAAAATACCAACAACCATGTTTTTAGGAACAGTTAGGAACCAGGAAGTGCATAACCCCTTCATTATACTCTTCAAACGTAAATCACTTTTTTTCTCGAAAACTGTCATAACTTTTTTCTTAGGAATATCCCCGCGGCGCTGTCGCCCAGGAAAAACAATCACCCACATAGCGAAACGCCTTCCTCACGGAGGTATCCTCAGATCACCTCAAATAGCTCTGTCAACTTCTCCAAATAAAAAAAAATCACTTCGAATTGGGGCCACACACGACCCTACACAAACGCCCGTTTTTTTTAGAAATATAACTTAACACTCCTGTCCACCATCGTCAAATTGAGGTGCAAAAGTAAAACACATTGATCAATGCCTTTAAATAAATTGGACACCAGGTCAGAGGTGCAATCTTAAACGCCTCCGCAGTAAATAAACATGACCGCTGTTTTGTCAGAGATAAGCCCATCCGCTTTTGCCAGGAACCCTTCTCAGGCACAATAGGCTTAAACGGACAGAATTTTTTTTTTGTTTTGCGCTCCAAACAATTGGAAGGTTCAAACCTTCAGACTTCTTGATCTTCGCTCCCAAATGACTCACAGCTTAGCTATCGCACAGCTCATGTCCCCGCACCATTGCCTTTTTCAGTACAACATCCACCCGCTTGAAGGTTTTATGAATAGCCGCATCGAATTGTTTTTACCAAACATGCCTTCAAACGCCTCTTAGTCTGACACCAACACGCGCAACTCATTGTCTATCATGTAATTGACCAAATGCCTCAGTAGTCCCACCTGTTCACCAGGTGTTTTCAGACCATGTAGGAAGTCCACACACCCGGAGAGGCTTTTCGACGGTCCCAGTCCAAGGCCTTGTAAGAAACCTTTGTTTCGAGATTCACCAGCTCCGGAGGTCTCAGGACTGGCTCGAGCCCAAGCTTGGTGCCGACTTGCCTAGAGTATGAGAAACGTTGACCTCACGCAGAGTGATTAACAATCGAATGCATGGGATGCTTTTTGCTTTCTAGGCTCCAACACTGGCCAAGCACTTAACCAGACGATATCTCTGTGGCCTCTAGTTGTCTGGCAGGCGTTCGTTTTATTTTGTGTGTTAGTAATATGGTTAAGAAGTTTTCTTTGTTTCCTTTTTATAGAACAAACTTCGCTGGCGAGTCAGCCGTTGTCCTATCGTATTCGTTCTGCCTTCGTCATCCGTGTTTATTGAGACTGTATTTCATCATTTTCAGTTAACATTGTCACAAACAACAGGAGCAGAAGCGGCAAAAAAACCGTTGCAAACTGAGACTTTATTGAGGCGAACTTCTGCCATACGAAATAAAGAACGAGCGCAGAGACAGCGACAGGCAGGCGGCAATAGACCTATTGCTATAGTACCCAAGCATCAAGGAGAATGCAGGGATTGGTGTTCCACGCGAAGCACGTGCTGGACTCAGCAGTAGTAACTTTTTTAAAGCAAATACCTAAACCAAATGGCATCTTCCACGTGCGTTCGTCAACGCTTTATTTTGGTTATTTACTTCGAACCTTTTATGTAGAAAAGGCGTGCGCGTGTGGCGCGTGGAACACCAATCTCTGCAGTCTCCTTGATGCTTGGGTAATACAGTTAATGGTCTATTTAGCTGTGTAACAGCAACCGCGAGCAAGAGTGACTCGACAAGGTCACACGCAGCTCCATACGTAGTGCGACCCGGAATCCCGAAGATTCGGCCCAAGCGTCCGTGGCGACTGACGGTGTTTTTTAATCTCGTGATTAAAGGGACACTGACACCCCGCCCCCCCCCCCCCCCCACAATTTTTTTATTTTTTGTCAGGCGCTTTATTATGGTGTCGGAACACTACCCAATTAATATTTTGCTACAGAGCCACGTATTCTTTTTAATAAAGCCAAAAAACGCAACTGCATGAAACCGAAACCGAAATTCCTGCACCGCACGAAGTAGTGGAGAGAATAGAGTGAGTGGCGGTAGTCATGTGGCTACACCCGATAGTGCGGGTTTTTTTGTTTTTTTTCGTTTTTTCTCTCCGCACGTAGCAGACGAAATGCGTTCGTTCGCCGTGCGATTCCTTTGCAGTTACGTCCGCTCGTTGTTCTGTACTTCAAGATGAGTTTTGTACATTTAAGTGTTGGCAATTAGTAGTGAGTGCCTGAGTGCCGTGGTGAATTCCCGTGATCGGCTCCGAAAAGAATACTCCCAAGATGTTGCGTGAAAAGTTGCCTCACATCTCCTGCATCTGAAAGTGGCATTGTGCGACAGAGTGCACAAGTTTCCGAAAGATCAACGGGTCGGGATCAATGGCTGGCTGCAATTCCTGTAGAAGAGTTAAGCGAAGTTCGGAAAGCGGACGCTACCGCATTCATATGCTCTTTGCATTTTGTGGAAAGTGACTACATTGAGTTCGCAGGTGTCAAAAATGGAGTCCCCTACCTTTTAGTTTTGCGACGTATAGTCTACAACAATTTTTTTTCTGTGATAATCGTAAAAAAAGAAATGTAAATATCGCAAAATGCTTGATATAAAAAAGGTACATTCACACTAGGGATTGAACCCGTGCCCACTGCGTGTGAAGTGGACGCCTTTCCACTGAGCTACTGTAGGAACTCAATTATGTGTAGTAATGCGGCGGGTAGCCTCTATGTCGGAAGTTTGATGCCGATTTCCCTTCAATACATGCACTCCCGGCTTGAAGTCGGGCAACACCACGCATATTCCACATTCGCACCTCATAAAGAAACCGTACGCGTGCGTATTCAACTCGAAGTACGCACTTCGTGCTTGCCGTTTGAGCGAGCGATGTCTTCAACCACGAGACGGGACGACGGCTCGGCGACGTCTTCGCGCAATCGGCTTGCTGGTCGGGCGTGTCGTACGGAAATGCATATCAGTTCTTTTGCTCGGTCCAAAATTTCTCTTTCGAAGGAAGACAGAAATCGCCGGTACCGTGAACAACAGTTCTGAAGTAGAGGTCCAAGGCGCGTCATCCGCTGCCATCCGCTAGTCCCACGATACGGGGAACGACGCCATGTTGAGAATTATGCAGTGAACGCACAAAGTGCTCCCGATTTTCTGTGCTACCTTTTATTTCAATCAACGTATTTGCAGCTTTTTTGAAGCCACGAAAGATGCGTTTCATATTTTTTTTTCTATTTTTAATATTGACTGTGTGCCTTCAATGACTCACGACTTTGATTAAATTTGGTGGTCGCGTCGAAACCTTAGAGAACGGCCCGTGACCACAGAAAACAAAATGAGCGCGACTCAAACCGGCCAGTTCTTGATCGGCGGTTTTCGGGCGGAAAGAAACCGAATTTCGAGCCGCAAATTCTGTTCTGGGTAGTTGGGTTCTCTTATGTCAGAGAGAGAGTAAACTTTATTGTGGAAATAGAGCTTTCCACATCCCAGCCCTAGTCCGGGCCTATGCGGTCGGGGCAGACTCCGTCCCATCCACCACATTACGAATGTGGTGGACAAGGGGGGGCCACCACAGCCTCTGAAGTTCTGAACGGGGAGAAGTCTATTCGTAGTTCAACTAAAAACCTCGGCGATGATAAATACCCTGTCAGTGTCCCTTTAAGTAACCAAGATTGAGTCGGCAATCTATTTTTTCGAGAAAGAGCAACCAAATGCTTGTTGCACGTCATTGCAACTTCCTTAATATGTCGGCAATTGCGTGAAGTAGCTATAGTATGTACCTATCTTTTTTTTTCTAAGCGCAGCACTTAGGCGTTTGTTACAGGCATAAGCGGCATCGCGATTTAGCGAAAACTTTTCCCGCTACATTAAGCGGGGAAATTTTTTGCTGTAACTTTAGCGGGAGATTTAGCGAAAACTTCCCGCTAAATGGGAGACGAGCAGGAGAAGAGGAGTGGAGGTTACGGATGAGGAGGAGGGGCATACACTCCTCTCCGTACCTTCCCCTCCTGCTCCTCAAGAGTTTCGCTCTAGTTCGGCATTACAGGGGATTGTAAACGTCTGTCATATTTTATGTAAAATATTTTAGGATTAAGTTTTTCCCCAGTTCATCGGAACTTAAAGAAAAAAGCTTTTGTAAGCACTAAAAGTGAAAAGGCATGCTGATTTTTATTTCGATTTACTGGTCTTACACTCGAAGGGCATGATAAATTACTTTCGTATGATTTGTTCCAGGTGCTGACCAACAGTCAAGTTACCTATGGCTTATCTTCTTGATAATTTTCTTATTTTGTTTTCGATGAGATCACCAGATTACAGAAAAGAAGGCAGTTGGGAGACGCCGCATCTCGACATTTCTACATCCGTCCATCACTTAGCATTGGTCTTCGCGATGCCGCCATTTTGTCCTCCAACACGCAGCGACAAGTCAGAATACAAGTTTCTATCAAGCTCTTCAAACTGATGCAAATTAGTTTTTCGCGCTGCTTGTCCGCATGTTCCACATTGCAGTTTTATATGAACGACCGAATCGGTACGCAGCGGACTGATGAGACCCAGCATGAGAAGAGAAAAGCGACTTTAGCCAGTCAACGAACTACAATACTTCACTCGTCAAAAACATGGGAAAGCACTCCCCAAGGCCAGGTAATGCGTTCTATTGAATCTGGTTATCGTTTCATTCTCGGATCCTCACACTATTGAATCACTCTTCAAACAAAAATTATCATTTAAATATGCTGCGTTTGTGCAACACGGACTCAAATAAGAGAAAAAAACACACACACACAAAAAAAAACACAGAGAAAGCAGATCTGGAATGTAAAGCTATTAAGAAAAAAATATTCCATCAATTTTGCCTGAAAGCTAATAGGTCCAACGGTGTTAAAGTTTGAGCGCCGAGGGTACGTCGCAGTCGCAAACTTCATTCATTATCACTGTAACAAAAGCAACCGTCTAGTGCATCCTTAAATGTGTGTCTGTTTGTGTGTTCATGTGCTTTTGCCCTGATTTAGTGATATTTTAGGCTGTCCAGCTAAATTAACGCCCTCACCCAGAGCACTGGACGAAACCCTCGAATAACGTGTGCTATAGAACCCTTGCCAATGGCTTATTGCTAGCTTACTAAAGATGTTAACTACTCTAATCTAAGTGCAAACAGCAAATACTTTTCCTCTTTACAACGACCTTGCTCGGATAAATGTGCAGATTTCTTTCTCAACCAAATGAACATGAAATGAGAAATAAATCAGTTGCTTTATTCACAAATGGTCTGGATGCTGCAGCATTATTTTCGCTTTTCTCACGTTTTGAACCGTGCCATGTCATTAAGTTTAGAAAACCTGGACGGAGCCATTTAGTCTTCGTTGGGTTCGGAAGCAAGAGGTTGCGAAAATGTCAAAAGTTTTGTTCGCAAAGCTGAAGCGTTGAAAATTAGAAAAACCGCGGAAAGGGTTGCAATTTCATTAGTTTTATTTATAACAAGTTCAACTGATCTACGAGATGTATAAACTTGCATAATCCAACAACGATTATAAAAATGTACAAGCGTAATGGGCAGTCACATGCGCAACAATATTTGCTGAAGAGGATATTGATGAAAATGTTAAACAATAGTGTAAACACCAGCACAAAGTGGAAAACTGGGCTAGTTTTTGACCTTGTGCAGTAATCACATTAGAGTATTTGAACCAGCTCTTAGGACCCACTAGCTACAATTTAAAACATGTAGTGGTGAGAATAAGTGCCCTAAGCCACACCTGCCTTGTCAGTGCGGGTGCCCCATCAATCAATCTTGTTACTTGAATGCAAATTTCTCAAATGCTTTGTCAGTACTCCTCCAACAATATTAAGGCACGTTAAAATATATATTTGTTTCGGAGCGGTTGGGGGGGGGGGGGGGGGGGGGTTAAACTTGAACAGAGCTGTTACAATTGCTTTTGAAAACATCGAAAAAATCAATAAGAAAACGATTTTATTTATGGGTTAACACGCAGCATGTGGGTGACTAACTGTATCCGCAATATTCTCAAGTTCCTATGGTATTGCTTCAAAAACGAAAGAGAGATAAGTCATGGCTATTTGCCCGTCACTCCATATTATCGAAACCCCCTATAACGCAGAGCAAGCACCATTTGTTTGTAATGGTCGAAGAGCAATGCAAGCCCTTGGCGTGTGTCTTCAAAGAGGTAGTCGATGACAGACTTGGCGAGAAGGGGCTGAATGAGGCCACCTGCACAAACGGTATTTTTTCAATGAACTACAGCAACTGCATACAAGGAGGGAGGGCAGGGGAAAAAGGACCTCAACGTGAAGACAATCTTGGTGACACAACTTCTTGAAGCTATTATTGAATATGAAGGCACCACAAACAATATCGCCAAAGTATGAGTCGCATTTAAACACCAAGCTTGCGCGATGCCATAGCTCAAAGTGGCGTTTTGTTTTATGCTACAAAACATTGTTTACGTGACTAAATGGTTCGGGGGAGGGGGGGGGGGGGTTATATTAGGCATTCCTAAAGCGCTTGAAACAAAAAAAAAAAACAATCGAAGCTGGGGTTTTCAGTTGCTCCTTCCGCGTTCACGAGATAACGGAGCGAAAAGGCAAAAACGCGGTTATCCCGAACTAGTATTTTTTTTTCATTTTTTAACTAAGCGACACATTATTGAAATACATGATTCTTGTGAGTCTTGAAAAACTTAGGATTAACAGTAGAATCCTACACGTGTAACGTGATTCACATCACTCCTCCGGCCAGTTTGGTGGACACGCAGTCTCGAATCAAAGTGAAATCACGCCCGACAGTACCCTGCTGCCTTAACGTTTCTGATCTGAAGGGGTGAAGTAACTCACCGAGAGCGGAATGCGCGATCATAAACTTGGTTTCCCTTTAAGTCCAACTCCAGCCGACGCTTCGATCCAATGGAGCCTTTCACGTAGTGACAGAAAGGCATTGTTTCGGCGCTCGAAGACCGTGCGTTTGGTTTCACACATTAAACGCTCTAAGCAAAGTGAATGCGAGAGGATCCTGTGCGTTTTCAGAACGAAGCTGTCTATAGCAAGGGTTCCGCGGATTTTTTCTGTGCGTCAATAAAATATCGCAACGCCCTTTATTTGTCGTCGTTCCAAGCGCTTGCGCGCCTAGTTTCCCTCCACTCTCCTTGGGTGGCGGTCCCGTCGCGCGTGTCTAGTTTCTTCCGGCTCCTCTGGGCGGGGAATATCAAGTCTGTATACAGACTTGATATTGAAGTCTGTCGTTCGTACATTTGTACCAAATTTTGTGTCACGTCTGTGCCATGGGATAAACAGTTTCGCTGGTCATAAAACTTGACAAGGTAAAATGGCTCATGGTTAGTTTTTTTGTGGGTGATTCGTTTATTCGATGATAGCGAACCCAAAAAAACAACAAGCGCAATGATGATGCAATTTTCGCGCCACTTGCTTGGGTTCCTCAGATCGTGTCGACTGTGTGATGTGAAAAAGTGCAAATGATTAGGAAGAGAAGAAGGGGTGAGGACAGAACGCTTTTTTAAAGTCCGACTGCTGTTTGACTTTAAGCGAGACCAAGCAGACCTGTTGTCCTTTCAAAAGACCCCTTGACGGGACAGCCATAGGCGCCTAAGCTTCTCGTCTCGTTTATTCCAAATGCAGGTTAGATACGCGTGAAAACGGTTCTGTGCAGTTTAGGGCACAATATTGAAAACTGACGGGAAGGGAATTGGTACTGTTCTGACGTGAGGCTTTCCTTTAAAACACTCCCCTTGAAAGGGGGTTTATCTTGTTTATGCAGACAAGACGAGGTTTAGAATTGTTCACTCTTCCGGTATAACAGGCTCTATAACGCCTTGTAGTCGCCGGCATCTTAAGAAAGTCAGGACGTTCTCTATTCTCTGCGCACTGATTTATAATTCGTGCTTCGGCGCCTTTATGTAATAATTCCGGAGTCTCATTGGCCGAAACGATAATAACTAGTCCGGGGCTAACCGGGCTTTGTGTTTCTAAATCTGTTGGTGGGTCATTCAAGCCGCTGCATTCCGCGTATATTCGAGACGCTCACGAACCCACCTGTTGTATTGTAGTTGGCCGAGAATTCAGTGATGCTGTCCATGTAAAGATCTATACAGAAATATGAATGTCAAGTCGATGACGAGGAGAATGATGATGGCAGCAATGCCCACCCTCACGATGGTTTTGTTGCGATTCCAGGTGAGCTCGTTCGAGGCCGTCTGTCGGGTAATGTTGACGTCCACTGCACTGGATGCGTGGTCTTTGTCCTTGGTCACCTTTGTCTCGGTCACGGTGATGCATTCGATGAAATCCCCGCGTTCCTGTCTACGGAGCTGAGGCATTGCAAGCAGGAGCAGACAGTAGCACCTATGGGGGCACGGGTTCTCGCGCAGCCGACGTGGCGCAAGACACGTGCGAACAGATTCGCGACGTGAGCTGAACCAGAGCCTCACATCTAAGAGGCCCTGGTCTTATCATGTATAGAGTTGGTCGTGGTTCTTATGTAGGCTGCTCTGGCTGATGAGCGGACGGCACCTAGCGGGAAAACACTGAATTAACAGGAATATGTCCTTTCGCGATTCCTGCTTTTCCCCTGCGGCTCACATCATTGCATGTTGCCGGCGGTTGAAAAAGTACCACAGAAATAAAACGAGAGAAGTTGCGTTCGTTGTGACCTCAGAAACAAAAGTGGCATCCCCGACGGGGCCGCATGAAAAACTGTGAGTTGTAATGGCTTAACGGATTATGTTCTTCTTGCCTTATTGCACATTTTGTGCATGTCGAATTAGATACTTTCATGACCTATAGGGTGCGTGCTGGTGCCTACAGAAATGGCTGTCACCTGTATGATCGTTGAAGAACAGCAGTACGAGGCTCGGTCTGCGACACGTAAGTAATTCTAGTTTTTCTATATCCGAGCACTATTAAAGACTTACGTTCTTGTTTCGTGTCCGGAAGACGTAGAGAAGCACTTTGTGGTGAAGCGGATCATCCAGGAGATAGGAAGCGCGATTCTCACACCTTGGTACCACAATCGCTGAAAGTTGCGAATAGTTGCCCTGGACATTTAGGTTGAACATTTACATTTACGTTTTAGATGGCTTAGGGCCGGTTGCACCAACGCCGCTTAGCGCAAAGCGGAGCTTAGCCGGGAACTTAAGCTAAGTTTTGGTTTCGTTCAGTTGCACCAAACTCGCTTATCGCTAAACCTAGCACTAAACTACGCTTAACTTAAGCGCTCAACATTGGGCGCTTAGTTTTTGGTTGTTTCTTAATCCTGGATTTAAAACATGGCGGCTGGTTTGTGGCGGTCGACGCGGTGAACGAAATTGGTTGTACAAAGTGTTTTAGGCTACAACAGCGTGAGAGTTTCGACAGGATGACCTTCGATTGTGACGAGGATGCAAAATATCGTCGCGTGAAGTGTTTATCGACCCCTGTTTTCAAGTTGGCTCTCCACTTTCAGTGCGTGTTAGCCCTAACCGAGATACGTACGGAGCTGTGGGGCTCACGTCGGTCTTCGCGTTGGTTATTCTGTCCACGACCAACTCTATTGATTCTGTCAACGAGCTTATTCGTATTTACTTTCTGATTTTCGCATAACTGTAACGTATTGTTATTTACCACTTCGTTTATTTCTGCTTGCAACGCATATCCTTCAATCCGATCAGCGCGTTGAATAGTGGCAGTACATGATCTCGGCGATCAGCTGACTGTCGACACCTCCGCCGGTTGCATGAGATTCCGGCGCTTTTAAATAATAAAATAGCAAAAA